CTAACTCAGGAGCCAGGAAAGCTAGAAAGCTGAAATTTTAAGGGGGTGTTTTCTGACAGTTCTGGCCACCAGTCCTAATTTGTTTAGCTAGAAACATTTGCCGGAAAAGCCGATGCCGACAGCGACAAAAACTGCGGGGAACTATGCAAAAAACGCACCTTTGCACGGGCAGCCCGTGCGTTGGCCAATTTTTTCATTTCTTCGTTTGTTCCGACCGATACTATATCTTCTAATCGTTAAAACTCAGGCGGTCCCGACATTCTTTTCTCTTTCTCCTAAAAGGCTTGCAAGCTTAGCTAGCTCTCCGAACAGGAGCAGTTTGGAAAACTTTTAGCCATTTGAAAATTCAGCCTGTATGTTAAGACTTGTCATCACGTAGCTGTACTTTGCCATCTGGGAGTTGGAAACACAAGCGATAAATCAAACTCAGCACGGCTGGAATTTTAAAAGTACCGCATTACAGGTCCAACTGCAACGAAGTGATGATGACGATGACGATGGGGATTATTCACCACGTGCGCTGAATGGAGGTGGTTCACTGGAAAGCACACATTCGTTAACATATCTCGAATGGGTCCATGAAAAGCAAACCAGGCGTATGCGTACACGATCCGAATGGTACACCACAATAATGATATTAATAAAAATAATAATGATAATATGAATATTGCTCTAACAATAATATTGTCAATAATAATAATGCTGACAGCAATAGTAATAACAGCGGTAGTAACAATAACTTGTAATTTAGTTTTATCACGAAGGGGGAAATTATCGCAAATGAATGATTTGAGGGGTTCGTATTGTAAACATTTCTTTTTTTCAGGTTTCTCTCGCCAGTTCTACCCCCAAAAAATAATGGTACCAAAGGGTTCGGGGCTGTGAGTTGTTCACCGTCTGAAATGCTTCGGCCACACAGTTCAGCGATCGGCTCATCAGAAGAACATTTGGAAAGTGTGCATACCGAAATTTTTCATGCGAGCCCGGTGCAAACTCATTTTTTACCGGCAAGTCTTTTCACAAATGGTACCTCAGCGCTGTGCTCAAAATTAAGGTCACTTATCCCTCCACATTCACCCTTTCTGTGGTAGCCGGGGATATGTTGAAGTAGCTCGAATGGCTGCACATGTGGCATCAGCTGGCAAAGCTGTCTGTACCTCACATTTTCGAAAGTTGCTTAAAAGCAAGCTGGTAACTGATTTAACGCTCTGGTACATGCCAGTACCAATTTCTCATTGGAAAATTAATGAACTAAATTCAATGGAATTTTTCCCTCTGGCTGAATCAAGCCCTCGGTATCTTTTACCTCAACAGCGCTATTTTCCTCTGCGCCATGCCTGTCGCATTTATATGAGAATAATGACATTAACATTATTGACAGAGTATTTGTCTGTGCTGTTAGAAAAGAAATGACCACCAGCCAACACTTGCTATTTCCACTGCAAACCCATGTTTTATATTTAAGTTAGGTTTGTGGAAGTGTACTGATGAGGCTTTATCACAGCTGGGAGGTATTTCCTTCTATATGCAAAAACTGTAACAGAAACATCATAATACGTTTGGAATTGTTTTTTCCGACGGATGCTTTTAGCTAAAAGAATTGAAACTGGCCACCAGGGCTGTCAGGAAACATCCCCTTAAAACTTCAGTTTTCTAGCTTTTCTGGTTCCTGAGTTAGTAAATTATCCGAAAAAATTTTCACTAGCTGAATTATGTGAGTCGTTCATTCGTTTCGATGGTAAATTGGTACTGGCTTTAATTCACAGTTTGATCCGCCGTCTTTGCAGCTGAAAGCTTTTCCAGCTGCTTTGACCAATGTTGCATCGTCTGTTGATCGGTTTGCTGAAGGTTTTGACGTTCGTTTAGCCTCAAGGGCGCTCCCGACTTGGCCATTACTAGTGACTTACCATAAGTGTGGTTAAAAAAATAAGACTGCCTTGCTTTTTGTAGAAAACAGCTGAATGCGCAATTAGTGCATCTTCAGCGAGTGCTTCCGGCTGCCAGCATCCGACGTCATCTACACCACGTGTAGCAGCAGTGGGTGGCGGTGTTGTTCGACGACGTTCCTGGCGTACCCATTATGTGCGACCGAATCGAACTGCTGAATTGATTCGGAGGGAAAGGGTACTGTTTTCCAGATTGACATGCGTGAAATTTTGCAGAACAGTTTCTGTTCTATAGACTTTTTTTGTTCTGGTCTGGTATAACTGACCGATAAATAGTTTTGCCCATCTCTTTTCAAATCTACCTGAATACCTGGACCAGCCTGCCTGAAGAGTTTTACAGTCTGGTTCTTCAGCTCTGCAGCTGACAACTTTTCCAGTTGCTTTGACCAGTGCAACTTTTTCAGCTACTTTAATCTCCTGGGTTCGTTTCGACTGCTCTAATCCGAATTTTCAAATGTGATAAATAATTTTATTAAATGAATAGATAAGTAGTTTTTATGCGTTTTTGCATTTTTATGCAAATGCAAACGTGTATGCTGCCGAGATTACTTAAAACTGAAATAAGTTTCAATTTTCGATTTTTGCAGCATTTTCCTAAAGACGATTAGATGGTATTTTAGAAAAAATCTCATCTCCTCTTTGTTATGCTTCTTGTAAAGCGATAAAGCTTTAGGATAACGAGGATGTAGTTGGTTATACGAATAGGTCGATACCGATGTGTCGCCGTAGTATACCAGTGATCATCGCGTCAACGCACAGTAGAAGCTTGACAAGTCCGGGAAAATCGCGAACAATTGAATCACCTCCGCTGGAGCACCGATCCGAAACTGCTAGCTGTGGTAGCGGCGCCAAAATCACTTCACATTCAAGAATTGTGCACTTCTAGGATAAATATGTAGCAGTATTCCTCGTTCTTGCTTGCCCTCTCATTTTTTCGTTACTCCTGCCCGTGGCTCGTGCTGCATCCAACGAAAATACCAGCCAATTTTCCTGGCACGGATTTCTTAGCTGCAGAACGCTGTGAAAGCAACTGTGAGACTTGGAAACCCCGTTGAGCGAAGCCCATTCGAATTCATCTGGGAAGATTAAGGAATTGTAGTTTTAATCGAATTTTACCCTACTTTTATCGATATTATTTCTCTTGTGAAATTTGGACCGATATCTCTCCTTTTTTTCTTCCTTTTGTGGAATTTGGACCGTTACTTCGGAATTTATTGGTCAGAATTTTCTTTTTGCGAATATTGGTATTTTTTTTACTTTCTGGAACTAATTCTCTTCAAAATAATCTTGTTTCCTTGGCTTATTTGTTATCTTTTTAATACATTTTTGATTCGTAGGATTGAAGCTTCTAAAATTTTTCCAGAAAAAAATTCCTTTTCTTAACAAATTTGAAATCTTTCTCCAGGTTCCCTTCATCTGCCATCACTACTACTAACACCACTTGCATTGAATTCTACCCACTGCCACATAAACGCATATATATAATTGCTGTAAGCTGCCCAAATCTCATTTTTCGTTACGTATTGTAGCTTTATTCATGACCAAGAATTCTGGAATTACCAGAGTCTCTGAAAATTATCAAAATTTTGAGTTTTATCCAAAATGTTAGACTTCAGTAGTTTTATATGTAAAAATTTTTTACGGAAAATTTAAAAAAATTTAAAGGATATATTTTTGTGAATTTTCCCAAAAGAAAATTTTAGGCGATATTTTTTGCGAATCTTTTTTGAAAAATTTTGAAAGATGTTCTTTTCGAATTTTAAATTCGAGAAATTTCGGAAGTTGTTTTTACTGAACTTTTTCTAAAAATTTCGAAGAATTTTTCCTGCGAACTTTTTATATTCGAAAGATTCCGGAAGACTTTTTGCGGGATTTTTTTTTAAAAATTTCGAAACGTGTTTTTTGCAAATTCGTCTTGCAAATATTTTCACAGATATTTTTGCGAGTTTTTTGTTCGCGAGAAAAATTCTAAAAGACGTTTTTTGAGATTTTTTTTTTTTGAAAAATTACAGGCTGTTTTGTTTTCAGGCGAACAATTTTCCCCATTACTGCCATCCAATTTACCTCATTCATTATCATCTATCGCTTCTGCCTGTTTTTTTTTCTGTTTCCGTATTTTTATCTCTTACACGAAAGAAAACATTCGGTTGGTTTTGATGAAACAACTATTTATTAACAATACGTAATTTCAGTACTTGAATTAGTTGTAACTCATAGTTTGGTTCTTGAACCCTTCAGCTGACAATCTTTTGCGGTTGCTCTGACCGATGGTTAGCCTTGTGGTGATCTCTATGCTGTTTTATCTTTTTCGAGACTTCGGCCATCTTTTAGAGCATGGTTACCGGAAGGAACACAGCTGGCCACTTCGTAGTACGGCTTCTTAGCATAGTGGGGATTGCGCTTGCCTTTGGAGAAGAACGCTCAAAGGCCATAAAGGGCTGAGTTTCAAGGGAGCACCCGTGATTAAGGGTTCACGAGACGACTGGTGTTTCTGCGCTGATTTCGGGATTAAATATATCTCTCTCGAAAAAAAAGATTTACTAAACGAAAGGAACGTTAGTAAGCTTACTTCTAGTTGACTGAGGTTCAGTCGATGAAGTGTCATTTCCTTCTTTGAGGATGTTTTACGATAAAACGGCAGCTTAGCAAAATACAGATGGCAAGCTTTAGAAAGTTTCACTAAGCCAAGCGGTCAAATAAGAGGAAATTTTGGTTGACCCTTTTCGTAATTTAAAAGTACCATAATTTAGACTTCTTCAGAATGCCTCCACCTGTCATAGACAGTTAATATGGAGGGAGTTTCCACTTTGACCTTTGAGATTTGACCTTTAAAAAATGACTGAGGCAGGCTCGCGGTCGTCATGCTGACCATCTACCGGGCTTAGTAACCGAAGAGATGTTAGCTTCTCGAAGTCAACTCTGAGCGAGTTCCTTTGGGAGTGAGTTCTAGTTCCAACCCTTTTTTAACCGCTCGCGTTTCCAGTATACTTGGCAACTTTTTCATGACCACTTGATGGAGCGCCGCTACCCTGCTAGTATTCCTAGCATTCGCTCTTTAGCTTTTAACTTTTTAAGCTGCTATGGGTTCTGTGGCCTTCAGAACATTTTTTTCTTAGCCCCATGTATACCTCTTGGCTCCCGGCTTACTTCCTCACTGCATAACTTGTTTGACTGTTTGGCCTTGAGCTGTCCTAGACTCACCTTTTTACTGCACTTGAAACGGCTTCTAGATCACCACTAATTGGCTGTTGCTACAACAAGAAAATAAAGGGAATAAAATTATGTTGCAGTAAAACTCCTTTTTTTGCGACCACTAGAACTGTTTTAACATTCCATCACTTTCTGTTGCTCATCTTCAAGTTTTTTTTTGTTACCGCATGCTCAAACAGTATATATTAGCGCTGTTTGTTTTCTTGCAGCTTCTCTCGCCGTCTCTTTGTACCAAGAAATCCCGACACTTTCCCTGGTTTTGCTAATCTTTTTGCATAATTGATGAAGCAGGCTTAATTTAGCGTGTCTTATTGGAAAGATTAAAATGTGAATTTAATCGTCCAGTTTGGATAAGATCAAAAGATTCTAGGAAGATTTAAGTATCGTTTGGATATATGTCAAATTGTAAGGTGGGAAAGGTTTTTGTATATACCAAGAATGCCAAGACGGGCCAGTCAGTTGGTGTGGGTATTCCATGTTAGTGATGTTACTGAAATCCTCGTATACGCTGAGCACAGCTATGCTGGGTTCTTTGATCCTGGGCTGCACACCTTCATTTACTGTATGAAATACTAAGAAAAGTATTTCTGATAAACTCTGTCATGGAATGTATTGATGGGATAATTGATGGGATAATCAACTCCAAAACGCAAGGCCTAGGCCAATAATTCAAATCCTGTTGCCTACAATCTTTGTTTCTTTTAGACGACATTTGATATTGACTTAATTGGGTTATCAGAAAATCAGATTGATCTTCATTAGCTTCTGAAATTGATCTTCATTTGCTTCTGAAATTGATACCACTGATAGTTTTGCTGCTGAGGGACTGCTAAGTGCTGTAATTGAAATACTTTCGTTTGAGGTAATGGTATGTGGAGAGGATATGAGTTTTGATGAGGGAAACGTTGAAGAGAGACAGGGAAGCCGATGGTGGAGAAAGAGGATAAAGAGAGGGAAAAATCAAATTTCGAGTTCATATGTTTTACACAACTTGATCCTGAGTTATAATTATTAGGAAAATGGTTATATTTTCATCCCTGATTTTTAGCGAAGCATAGTTACCTTCCAGCGGTTCACAGGTATGGGATACTGCTTTTGAAGCCACGAAGCTAAACAATATTGTCTCAAAATTTAACGTTTTTCTTTACAACGCAGCCCAATTGTTCAGCTCATGTTGTTGCTTTTGTAATTGTTGAAACAAATTTATCGTTGCAAATTGAATCACTTTGTTTACAAAAAAGCCTGTGAACAGGCGAAAGCTTTGTATGATCTTGGATTTTGTATAATTTGGTGCAGTTTTTTCTAGGATAAAGAATTCGAAAATTGTTCATTCATTAGGCGTTATTTCTTTAGCGTTTTTCGCTATTGGTGCATCTGGCAACTATCCCATTTTTCTGGTTTTGCTTATGTGCCAAGAATAAGAGACAGCAGATGGACAAAGCAAGCACTGGATGATAGCGATGCAGTATCAGAATAATGCAAGAAAGTAAAATATTCCTTTATCCCCCACAAAATTTCACTCTTCGTTGCGACATGGAATGGCAGTGGATTAGGCAATGTTGAGTTCGGAGTTCTATACATGCCTAGAAGACACTACGCCGCGTTTTCTCCTACTAATTTTTGGTGCTACGAATTAGTGTCAGCTCGACATCGATTGGTATTGGAGAAGAGTTCCTGACAGGTATTCCGTTGTATTTCCTGTGAAGATTTGTGAATTTGGCGAGCTCAGAACTAAGTAGGATGGAAAAGTAGTCGGTCACTTTGACAATGAGTCGACAACATTGAAGGAACAACTGTTCGAGTGTCGAAGAAGGGTTTACGTTCCAGTGACATGCTGTGTCCTTCCTGTCTTAACAAACATATGTTGAACAGTCTTCAAGGGATTCCAACACTGATTGTCCCGTAGTCTCAGTGGGACTCTTGCTGTTTATCAGTGTTAAGCAGATCTGACTAAATTGTGGTAAAGCGTTTTATTTTATGCAAATGAAAAAAAAAAAAAAAATCATCCAAGCAACGAAGAGTACGAGCACAAACGTATGCATGCATCCTCGGTCAGGGGCAGATAGTGATGGAAGAAGAGGTGGTGATGCTCAACACATACTCAGTAGATAAAGCCTTGCCAAATTGCCTCTGTTGACCAATAATCCTTCAGGGGACGTAAAAAACGTCAGGATAGCCAAAAGGCTGACCGCCAGGCGATGCAGCATTGGTCAAAACAATTATGAAATCACTAGCGAAGCGCACGAGGCGGGTCTTTACGAAAACACGTTTTTGCAGTATGTCATGCTATATAAGGTCGCATATAATCCCAGCAGCTAGAGTTTATGATATGCCGATCCTCGGAGTTCAAGAAGTTAATTGTGCAAACACGTGGTACTTGGACAGGAGGCACTTCGTTAAAATGTCAGTTTTTTAGCTCTTTTGATTCCTGAGTTGGCAATTTTCCTACCAAAAAATTCACAGGCCGAACATGAGAACCACACATGCCTGGGTATAGATTTAAAATCTTTGAATTCAGCGTGGGCGGAGAACATCCCTTCAAAACTTCACCTCTCCAGTTTTTCTGTTTCTTAAGTTAGCAGTCCCTTTCAAAACTTTTACGTGCTCGTACGCGAGGCCCAGGTGCGCATGAAAGTTGGTATTGCGGTCCTCGGGCGACACTTGGTCGAGGAACAC